TTGAGGAAGGCTTTCTTATCTCTCCTTGCTATTCTTTGGAACTCTGCATTCAAATGGGTATATCTTTCCTTTTCCCCTTTGCTTTTCTCTTCCCTTTTTTTCTCAGCTATTTGTAAGGCCTCTTCAGACAGTCATTTTGCTCTTTTGCATTTCTTTTTTGGGGATGATCTTGATTCCTGTCTCCTGTACAGTGTCACAACCTCCATCCATAGTTCATCAGGCAATCACTCTATCAGATCTAGTCCCTTAAATCTATTTCTTACTTCCACTGTATAGTCATAAGGGATTTGATTTAGGTCATACCTGAATGGTCTAGTGGTTTTCTCCACTTTCTTCAATTTCAGTCTGAATTTGTCAATAAGGAGTTCATGATCTGAGCCACAGTCAGCTCCCGGTCTTGTTTTCACTGACTGTATAGAGCTTCTCCATCTTTGGCTGCAAAGAATATAATCAGTCTGATTTCGATGTTGACCATCTGGTGATGTCCATATGTAGAGTCTTCTCGTGTTGTTGGAAGAGGGTGTTTGCTATGACCAGTGTGTTCTCTTGGCAGAGCTCTATTAGCCTTTGCCCTGCTTCATTCTGTACTCCAAGGCCAAATTTACCTGTTACTCCAGGTGTTTCCTGACTTCCTACTTTTGCATTCCAGTCCCCTATAATGAAAAGGACATCTTTTTTGGATGTTCATTCTAGAAGGTCTTGTAGGTCTTCATAGAACTGTTCAGCTTCTTCAGCATTACTGGTTGGGGCATAGACCTGGATTACCGTGATATTGAATGGCTTGCCTTGGAAATGAAGAGATCATTCTGTCATTTTTGAGATTACATCCAAGTATTGCATTTTGGACTCTTTTCTTGACCATGATGACTACTCCATTTCTTCTAAGGGATTCCTGCCCACAGTAGTAGATATAATGGTCATCTGAGTTAAATTCACCCATTCTAGTCCATCTTAGTTCGCGGATTTGAACTAAGATTGTCGATGTTGACTCTTGTCATCTCCTGTTTGAGCACTTCCAATTTGCCTTGATTCATGGACGTAACATTCCAGGTTCCTATGCAATATTGCTCTTTATAGCATCGAACCTTGCTTCTATCACCAGTCCCATCCACAACTGGGTGGTGGTTTTGCTTTGGCTCCATCCCTTCATTCTTTCTGGAGTTATTTCTCCACTGATCTTCAGTAGCATATGGGGCACCTACCGACCTGGGGAGTTCATCTTTCAGTGTCCTATCTTTTTGCCTTTTCGTATTGTTCATGGGGTTCTCATGGCAAGGATACTGAAGTGGTTTGCCATTCCCTTCTCCAGTGGACCACATTCTGTCATTATTCCATTTAATGCTCTTTGATGCGGTTACTGCCAATTGCTGAAACTTTCCCTGGTGGCTCAGCTGGTAAAGAATCTGCCTGCAGTGTGGGAGACCTAGGTTCAATCTCTGGGTTGGGAAGATTCCCCTGAAGAATGGAACGGCTACCGATTCCAGTATTCTGGCCTGGAGAATTCTATGGGCTGTGTACAGTCCATGGAGTTGCAAAGAGCTGGACATGACTGAGTGACATTCACTTTCTTACTTTCAGTCCTGTTTTTGTTTAATCTATTTCTTATTCCCCAAATAATTTAGCTGTTAAAATAAAAATAGACTTCTTTCAACTAAAATTTAAAAAATGAAAAGAAGAAAAAAGTCCAGATTTGTTGGAGATTGGAAGTACATGTTGCTGAGTTAAAAAAAGTTAGTAAAACCTCTTTGGTTTTTGTTGTTAAAAGGAATTGCTGCATGAGTGGTGAGTAGATACCCAAGGTAATTTGGTTGGAGATGTGATGAAGGAAGAACAACTTTTCAATGTGTTATATTTCCAGTATGGTAATAAATATTTTGCTGGGATTATTTATAGTTTATATTTTGTGTTCCAGATAATCAAGTAAAACAAAGATGAGCTTCATCTGTGGACTGCAGTCTGCTGCTAGAAACTGTTTTTTCTTCCGATTTAATTTACTGACCAATTGGAGAAAATGTAACATACAAGCTGTAACCTCACGGGACTTTCATCAAGTGAAAATTAACCATATAGAAAATAAATCTCCGGGCCTGGGAGTAAATCACATTGATAGATGGACTCCTCTGCCTGAAAACTTTCTCTTCTATAGGACTTTTAATACCAAAAGAAAAGACTGCCTTTTGAGCACCAGAAGTAAGGAAATTTGGATGATTAGCCGAAAATATACTGTATGGACTGACTCTTTTTCAAGACAGCTACTGATGAAAGACGTTCCCATAGTTCCTGCTCATTCGCTGTTGCATCCCCTGAACTGTTTACCCGCAAGAGACGTCAGGAGTTTCCACACTTCTCCACGGTGCCAAGCTACTCCTGTTCCTCTGTTGTTGATGATTCTTAAGCCAGTGCAGAAGCTGCTTGCAATCATTGTGGGCAGGTAAAATGCTTTTTAAAATGTTAGCTTTTATATTAAAAGTTTGTAAAACTGTACTTTTAAAGAAAAATTGGTAGATTTCCCTCCCATGATTAGCTCGGAAGTTCAGTTTCTAAATAGTTGGTATATGTATGTATATATGCCTTAATAATCTTGAAATCATTTGCCTCATATATAATATAGAAATGTTATCTGTAAAAATTATTCTTATATATCTTATCTAGACACTATTTTAAAGATCTTATAATTACAAAAATCAGTAATGTTTGTTATAGTTCATGTGTAGGAACATTCCTTTTTAGTTCATGAAATTTGAGGCATTGAATCATGAAACTGAAAAACTTTGCTCTTTTAAGAAAGAACTCCTAGCCAAATTAACTCTTAATTGTATTTGTTTATTTTTCTATTGTATTTCCAACAAATCTTTATTTTCTCTTGGTGATCCTTTATAGCACTTAATGTTTTTAAAGCTAAGTAATACTTCATATTTAACTTAAAACTCTTCCCTCATAATTAATCTTGTTTTCTCTTATTTGCTCCATGAAGATTGAAGAAAGGTAAAGTTAAGCGTTGTCTCCCTATAAAGTTATTTTATATTTGATAACTATGAAGTGCCTTCTAGCCTTTTTACTTCCGTAATAATCAACCCAGTTTTCTTTTTATCCAAAATTGAGAACTTGTACTCTAATTTATTGTGTTCTTTATGACTAGGCTTTGGCACTCAGAAAACATACAGTTAATTTAGCTCTCAATTTAAGTATGACTTCAAAGAAAGCCAGAGCTAGGCAGTAGTCAAAGAAGTAAAACCAGTTTTTATTCAGAACTTTTGCAATAGGAGAAAAGAGACCTCAGTATAGAACCAGAGTCAGTTCTGTATACACCATGGGCTGTGCAGGTGGTGTGGGGCTTGGTAGATGGAAAACTACAGAGAGGAAACATCAGGAGCCAGGAGAGATTCTACTCAATCTGATCTACCAGAGTTACTGCCGAAGACAGGTGAGAGTGATCAGATGGTGCCTATCCGTGGCCTGTTTAGAAACGCAATTGCATAGCAGGAGGTGAGCAGGGGTGAACAAGCGAAGCTTCATCTGTATTTAACAGCTGTTCCCCATCGCTTGCGTTACTGCCTGAGCTTTGCCTCTTATCGGATCAGCAGCAGGATTAGATTCTCATAGGAGCATGAACCCTACTGTGAACTGGGCATGTGAGGGATCTAGTTTGTGTGTTCCTTATGAGAATCATCCCCAAACCATTCCCTCACCACCACCCCAGGTCCATGGAAAAGTTGTCTTCTGCAAAACCAGTCCCTGGTGCCAGAGGGTTGGGGACCACTGACCTGGGGGATGATGAATGATAAATAACAGGTTAGATATCACAAGTGATCATATATGGAGGATGAGAGATTCTGACTTAACTGACCAGTGCAGAGATGAACACAGGAGTCCCGAAGTCAAAACGTTCATGGGAGTCTAAGTAGAGTTTGGTCCAGGAGAGAATCTTTGTCACAACTCAGCCTAGGTTCTTGGGCTGATAGATCTTTTTCCTTCTTTTAAATTATTTGTTTATTTTTAACTTTTTGTTATTACTGTTATAAATCACCTAAAATTTTGTTTTAGGTTGTGTTTTCATACATTTTAAATAATAGTGTCATAAATTTTTAAATTGGAAATAAATATACTTCATAGCTTGATCTAAGTCTTTTTAAGGTTGAAACACTTTAAGGGCCTTTTAGGTATATCACTTAGCAGGACTAAAATAACTTAAAGAAGTTGTTTTATAAAATAAATTTTGTCCAGAGAATGATGTATATATTTTAAATATTTGTTGTAATTTCACAGATGAACTCATGGGGGAAGTTTTTTGTTCAAGTACTGAAAACATCATTGTTGTTTTAGTTGCTAAGTCGTGTCCAACTCTGCGACCCTGTGGATTGTTGCCTGCCAGGCCTTTATGTCCACGGGATTTCCCAGGCAAGAATACTGGAGTGGGTTGCCATTTCCTTCTCCAGGGGATCTTCCAAAACCAGGGATTGAATCTGGGTCTCCTGCTTTGGCAGGCAGATTCTTTACCACTGAGCCACGTGGGAAGCCACTGAAGACATTACTGGTTCTCAGAATGTCTGTGAATCCTAGAAGCAGCAGAGAGTATTGTTGCCTGGTAGGGTTGGACCTCCCCTGACGTTATCCATAAAATCTCTGATTTCTGTGTGTACAGTGCCTGTGCTCTTATTACACCTCTCGTTTGTTGTGTTCTCTGGAGCTTAGTGGAGTTTCTGCTACTGAGCAATATTTGTTTCCAAAATCAGTGCTGAGATAGTTTCCCTTGCATCTGACTGAAGTACTGGCAGATTGTGCCAGATGTCTGACGTCTGATGAGCAGTGGGGGGAGTTGTGGTTAAAGGTGAAGATTTATTGTACCATAAGCCTTCAGTTGTTTATTTGGGCAATTCATCTCTATTATCACATTGCCTTCCTTCCTGATTTTCCTCTTATTAACTCTGTGACCTTGGATAAGTTGTTTAACTTCTCTATGCCTCAATTTTCTCTTCTGTAACAGGGTTATTATGAAGATTAAATGAGATGACATGCGTATAGCAATTAGAAGAGTACCTTGAATGTGCTAAATAGTTAATAAATGTGAACTAATGGTAGTTATAGTAAAACAACTTCTCACTTAGCTCGTTTAAAATAACTGAAGAAGAAAATTCAAATGAGCATTAGAATTTTTAACTACAGCTCTGTATAATTGATTGCTTTTTTATCATTTGGCTTAGAATTTTACAAACTGGAAAAATCCCATCTATACAGAGAAATATAAAAATTCAAGCCTTTGATGACAAAATATTAGCATAAACATTAAGTTTTGATGTTATGTACTGATTTTGTTATCAGAACTTTGAATTTTTCTTTTTGCTCTAGGGGCATAAGAAAATGGTGGCAGGCACTTCCTCCTAACAAGAAGGAACTATTTAAAGAAAGTTTAAGGAAGAATAAATGGAAGCTCTTCCTTGGCTTGAGTAGTTTTGGATTGCTTTTTGTAGTGTTTTATTTTACACATCTGGAAGTGAGTCCAGTCACAGGAAGGAGCAAGCTACTGTTATTGGGGAAAGAACATTTCAGACTTTTATCAGAACTGGAATATGAAGCAGTAAGTAGAAAGACTCATTGTTTAACTAGATTGCTTGATATAATATTTAAAGCAGGAACGTTTCTTAAGCATGAACAATGCACTACTTTTTAATTTTAATCTCTGATGGGGAATTAGCCTTTTTTCCAAAAAGTCTCAGACCTTTCATGCTTTGTATTCCTGCCATCTACATCGCCTTTCCTCACAATCACCCAGCCAGCTCCTGCTCGTCACATGTCACCTTAAATGTCACTTTCTCAGGAAAGCCTTCCTTGATTATCCTGACTGGGTTAAGCAGTGAGGCTGTGTTAGACCCTAGGGGGTATCCTTCATAACAACACAGATTACATTATGAATCAGTCATTTGTAGCTTGATCACTACTTGGCTATATTGGGGCTAGGTATCCTACTTTTATTTTCTCTTTGCATACGGTACTTTCCTTTTAAAAACACTAGTCATGAGGGTAGAAGCATCATAATTATTTGCATAATTATCTATTTGCTGATATGTCTCCCTTGCTAGACTAACTCCAGGGGGTCAAAGAGCCTGTTTGTTCTGTTTATCATTTTATTTTAAGTACTGGCACAGTGTACAAAGTAGTGCTTACTATGTATTTTTTTTAATAAATAGATCTGTAATTTGAATTTTTGTATCTTGAAAATTAAGTAGAATAACATAGTTCCCCACCCCCTAAACATCAATTTGGGCAGTTTATTATGTATATATTTTCTTTTTCATTAAAAAAAATTTTATTCATATATTGGCTTCCCTGGGCCTTCATTGCTGCATGAGGGCTTTCTCTAGTTGCAGTAAGTGGGAGCTGTGTTCTAGTTGTAGTACGCAAGCTTCTCATTGAGGTGGCTTCTCTTGTTGTGGAGCATGGGCTTCAGTGGTTGCTGTGTGGGCTCAATAGTTGCAACTCCTGGACTCTAGAGCACAGGCTTCAGAAGTTGTGGCCATGAGCTTAGTTGCTTTGTAGTGTGTGGAATCTTTCCAGACCAGGGATCGAACCCATGTCCCCTGCATTGGCAGACAGACTCTCAACCACTGGGCCACCAGGTTGCCACAGTTTATTATGTACTTTAAATTAATTTTTTTAAGTTATATTTTTTGAAAACAAAATAAAGTTGTATTTCAGAAGCCTTAACTCCTTGGAAAGTATAGTAACTCAAGTAAGCATCTTACACCCCTAGTGAATTCCTTGAGGGTAGATCATCTTTCTGTCCCTCATGCTTAGCACACATATGGTATACAAACTTTATTTTATTGTTATTTGCTTTATTGCACTTTGCAGATACTGACTTTTTAAACTTTGGAAGTTTATGGCAACCTTGTGTCAAGCAAGTCTATCGGCTCCATTTTTGCAGCAGCATTTGCTCACTTCCTATTTGTGTCACTTTTCACTGATGCAGTATTTTGAGTCTTTTCATTATTATTTGTTAGGCAAAAGAGATTATGAGTCTCTCAAGGCCTAGATGATGCTTAGCTTTTTTTTTAAGCTATAAAGTGTTCTTTAAGGTGTGTACATTGGTTTTTTTTAGACATAATGCTATTGCACACAATAAACACTGGGAAACCAAGAATTCTTGTGACTCGCTTTATTGAGATATGCACTTTGTGGTGAATATCTCAGTAAAGATATTGAGAACTGGAACTGAACCCACAATATCTCCAATGTGTGCTATATATGCTAAATTAATATTTGTTGAATTTATAGCCTCACTTGACAACTTTTCTGTGGTTAGATTTTTATATATCAAAAATATTTCTGTATTTTTATAATCTTGAACTTCTGAGTTTGTCAGTGGAAAGTTACCGTAAAAAAGAAATAACAGATTTTTCACTAAAAAGATTGTTTGATTGTTCTTAATAAAGATAAGACCAATCTCTTCCATACAGGTTATACAGAGATTTGAGATGTTTCTTAGAATATTATAATCAGAAGCAAGTTTGAGAAAAGTGTTTTGTTAAGATTGAGAAAGGCCTAGTGTTAAATTAGTGTATGTTCTACCATTTATATCACTAAGTTTAAAAAAAATTACATACATGTACGTATATTTTTTCCTTATTTTTAGCCTATGCATGTAATACCTGCTTGATAAGAAAATTCAAGCACATGTTCTTATGGGATTATTATAAAGTACCATAATTACATATAATCTTGTTGTATCTACTTCAGTAGTGTTCTTTTAGACAATTTACACTGGTGACTTGTGCTTTTAGAAAATACTATATAAAGATTTTAAAATTCATATTCTGTAAAATCATGTTTTTAATGCATTATCAAGGTTACAGACTTCTTAATTCATATATGCAAGAAATTACACATTTTATGGAAATTTAGTAGTTTTAGAACATCCTTAATTTTCAAATGGCTGTCTGAGGAACCTGGCAAATAGCTGAGGAAAGAAGAAAAGTGAAAGACAAGGGAGAAAGGGAAAGATATACCATCTGAATGCAGAGTTCCAAAGAATAGCAATGAGAGATAAGAAAGCCTTCCTCAGTGATAAGTGCAGAGAAATAGAGGAAAACAACAGAATGGGAAAGACTAGAGATCTCTTCAAGAAAATTAGAGATACCAAGGAACATTTCATGCAAAGATGGGCTCAATAAAGGACAAAAATGGTATGGACCTAACAGAAGCAGAAGATATTAAGAAGAGGTGGCAAGAATACACAGAAGAACTATGCAAAAAAGATCTTCATGACCCAGGTAACCACGATGGTGTGATCAGTCAGCTAGAGCCAGACATACTGGAGTCTGAGGTCAAGTGGGTGTTAGGAAGCATCACTACGAACAAAGCTAGTGGAGGTGATGGAATTCCAGTTGAGCTATTTCAAATCCTAAAAGATGATGCTGTGAAAGTTCTGCACTTGGTATGCCAGCAAATTTGGAAAACTCAGCAGTGGACACAGTACTGGAAAAGGTCAGTTTTTATTCTAATCCAAAAGAAAGGCAATACCAAAGGATGGTCAAACTACTACACAATTGCACTATTTCACATGTTAGTGAAATAATGCTCAAAATTCTCCAAGGCAGGCTTCAGCAGTCCATGAACCAAGAACTTCTAGATGTTTAAGCTGGATTTAGAAAAGGCAGAGGAACCAGAGATCAAATTGCCAACATCCGTTGGATCATCGAAAAAGCAAGAGAGTTCCAGAAAAACATCTGCTTCATTGACTACTCTAAAGCCTTTGACTGTTTGTGAATCACAACAAACTGTGGAAAATCCTGAAAGAGGTGGGGATGCCAGACCACCTTACCTAAGCCTCCTGGGAAATCTGTATGCAGGTCAAGAAGCAATAGTTAGAACCAGACATGAAAAAACAGATTGGTTCCAAATTGGGAAAGGAGTTTGTCAAGGCTGTATATTGTCACCTGGCTTATTTAACTTCTATGCAGAGTACAACATGAGAAATTCTGGACTAGATGAAACACAAGCTGAAATCCAGATTGCTGGGAGAAATATCAGTTAACTTAAGATATGCAGATGATACCACCCTTACGGCAGAAAGCAAAGAGGAACTAAAGAGTTTCTTGATGAAAGTGACAGAAGAGAGTGAAAAAGCCGACTTGAAACTCAACATTTAAAAAACTATGATCATGGCATCCAGTCCCATCATTTCATGGCAAATAGATGGGGAAACAATGGAAACAGTGACAGACTTTATTTTCTTGGGCTCTAAAATTACTGCAGATGGTGACTGCAGCCATGAAATTAAAAGACACCTGCTCCTTAGAAGAAAAGCTATGACCAACCTAGACAGCATATTAAAAAGCAGAGACATCACTTTGCTGACTAAGGTCCATATAGTCAAAGCTATGAATTTTCCAGTAGCTGTGTATGGATGTGAGAGTTGGACCATAAAGAAAGCTAAGTGCCAAAGAACTGATGCTTTTGAACTGTGGCGTTGGAGAAGACTCTTGAGACTCCCTTGGACTGCAAAGAGAGCAGAACAGTCACTCCTAAAGGAAATCAATCCTGAGTATTCATTTGAATGGGCTTCCCTGGTGGCTCAGAGGTTAAAGCGTCTGCCTCATTGGAAGGACTGATGCTGAAGCTGAAGCTTCAATACTTTGGTTACCTGATGCAAAGAGCCTACTCACTGGAAATGACCTGATGCTGGGAAAGATGGAAGGCAGGAGGAAAGAGGGACTACAGAGGATGAGATGGTTGGATGGTAGCACCGACTCAATGGACATGATTTTGAGCAAGCTTCGGGAGATTGTGAAGGACAGGGAAGCCTGGTATGCTGCAGTTTGTGGGGTAACAGAGTCAGAGATGACTGAGCGACTGGAAGAGCAAAATTTTTCAAAGTATAATTGAAAGAGTCTCTCATGAACATAGCTTCAGAAAAGATGTCTTTGTATGGTGGCTAGTCTTAACACAGTAAAAAGAAAATGATATGCTCATTAGTTCTACAGTTTCAGTAATTTCCTTTCAGTCTGTGTGAATAAGACACTTGAAAATTAATGAAATGTTGTCCTTTTTCTGGTAGAAGTTTAGCTTTCTTATTAAGCATAGGGTGTTTTTCTATTCAGTATGTTATGAAAGTTTTTATTAATTTTTATTGGAGTATAGTTGCTTTACAGTGTTGTGTTAATTTCTACTATACAGTTATTTCTTTTGTATTTTGCTTTCTTATATAAACTCTTTATGTTCTCTAGGAAATGTTTTGTTTTCTAAAATATTTAGGAAAGTTGAAATGATATTTAAGCATTTTATTTGTTTATAAGCTTAATAGAAAAGATGAATGAAATTTTATTTCAACCAATTTATAGGAAAAATCTTAGGTTATTAGAATTTACTCCACTTGTGAGAAGCCAAATTTTTGCCTTTGCATAAATAATTCAAATTTGAAAAAAATGAGTATTTAATATATGCAGATTTTTCCATAATTAAAAATTAAAGTATTCAACAACATAGTGCCATATAAATCACTCCTTACACTTGATCTTAGCCAAAAGGCCGAGAAGCGATAAATCACTCCTTAAAGCAGTATAAAGGCTTCCCTGGTGGCTCAGTGGTAAAGAATCCACCTGCCATTGCAGGAGATGAGGGTTCCATCTCTGGGTTGAAAAGACCTCCTGGAGGAGGAAATGACAGCCCGCTCCAGTGTTTTTGCCTGGAAAACCCTATGGACGGAGGAGCCTGGTGGGTTACAATCCATGGGGTCGCCAAGAATCAGACACAACTTAGTGACTAAACAACAACAATAAAAACAATATAAACATTTTGTGGAACTAACACTCTCTTAGAGACTACTTTTTAATCTTTTCAGTGGATGGAAGAATTTAAAAATGATATGCTAACTGAGAAAGATGCGCGATATGTGGCTGTTAAAGCAGTGGTTCATCATTTAATTGAATGCAATCAAGATATTCCAGGGATCTCTGAGATCAATTGGATTATTCACGTGGTTGATTCCCCAGATATAAATGCCTTTGTACTTCCAGTAAGTAAATATTGCCCAGTCTAATTTCTAATTTTTAATTGTTAAATTTAATGTCCTTTTTTTTTATGGTGTTCTCATTGCTTACATTATTTTCATTATGGTGCAGAATGGACAAGTGTTCATCTTCACTGGACTTTTAAATAGTGTGACTGATATTCATCAGCTTTCTTTCCTTCTGGGCCATGAAATAGCACATGCAGTGCTGGAGCATGCTGTAAGTATCTAAAATGAATGTTCAGTTATTGAAATACTCCTTTGAAGTTAACAAGTTAAATCTTTTAGAGAACTGAATCTTTTCAGTTTTTTTAAATTGATGGAATTTTAGTTTTTAGTAATTGACTTATTCTGTTGCCTGAAAAAGTATGATTGGCTAATTTTGAGAATTTCTATGGTCTTTAGTATTTGATTCTGAATAATTAGTGTTTCTCTTAAATACTGTTTTTATCACCTATCTTTTTTGGTAAGACGTAATTATTCTCAACCTCTAATTATTTCAAATTAGATATTAAACTTTCCATAATTATTAACATACTTATAATCTAGTCAGAAAATTAACTGTAGGAAAGTGATATTACTATCTAAGTGGTAAATCAGTTTTCTTGCTTTTTTTATTCATTCTCAGAGAATAACTTAGAGCATCTTGGAAAATGTATAGAATGATATGCTGTATATAATGAATGCAGAGTAATAATAATGATACCTTGCCATTTTACAGTTTACTGAGCTTTTTAATATATACCTTCTCATTAATAATTTTAATATTGTCCTCATGAGGTAGGTATTTAATATCCCTAGGTTATATACAAGGACACTAATGTTTAAAAAGACCTTAAATACTAATACTAATTATTAATTAAATACTAATCTGACAGACTGGCAGAATTTGAACTTTAATCAAGGCTTTCTGTTTGCAAGTCCAGCACTGCTTTCTTTTACCACAGTTACCCGGCTGTTTTCAGGTTGATTTATCATACAATTTAGGTTGATTAATGCTCTTGTGAATATACAGATCTGTTTGACTTGGTATGAATCTAGAAAAATAATATATTTATTTACTCATTTTTATTTTGATGCACTAAAAACGTGCATGGCTCATTTGTCCACATGAGTAGAAAAAGGTATATTTTCTAATTGAAAACACGAAGGTAAATAGTGAAAGGATTGTAAAATGCTGCATCAGAAATGCAAGTAATATTAACTTCAAGTGTAAAAGATAATGTTATTAATCCTTCTAAAAGTCATCTCAAATTCTGTCTTTTCCTTAGAGTATTAATAAGATGAGGTAGGCCAAAGTTGTGCTCTTCTGGAGTGCAAATAGTAATTATCGCCTTTATTTCTTCTGAGTTATAGGAAAATTAAAAAAATTTTTTTCCTTAAACAGATACATACAAGAATCAATCTAAGCAATTGAAATGCATTATATCTTTCTAGAAATGGTTTCATAACTGCAAAATCAATTATGGTCATTTTTAGCTTTTAAAAGGTATTCATTTCAGTACATTAATTTTCCTGGATCTAGATTGTTGTGTTATTAAGCATAATGTTGTCATCTCTGTCTCTGCAAGAACAACAATTAGATGAGTCATAGAAAGGAAATATCAGGCTCAAAAATAGGAAATAGTTATTAATATTTCTTTGTTAGGCGTCTTAGCCATTGTCTGTACTCTTTTTCAGGAGTCTCCATTTTTATTTGATCTAGCCTTTTATCTTGTTTTTGTTATTCCACAAATATGGATTTTAAAATTTTTATTAGTTTTCTAAGGTTATGTAATAGCAATTATATTCTTTAGTAATTACAAGGATTTTCTCTTCTATAATGACTTCATCACTTGGAGTTGTATTCGTTAGTGCTAAAATAATTCCATAATTGTTTTTCATGACTCTCAGTTCTTATAATGAAGCAAAAATTGCTTTGTGAGGGCAGATTATATTAAGAAGTATTCTAGGTGATTATTTTTAGTTGTCAGCCATGTTTCATACACTCAAATAATGTTTCCTGTATTGTCAGTGTCACTGTGACAGTAACATTTATTAATCAACAATAGTGGGGCGTGGTGAACAGTCCAGTGCATTAAACTTATATTTAGATATTGCCATTCAAAACAGCCATTTTAGAACTTTTTTTTGGTTACTGCTATAAGTAAATACAAAAAACCATATAACTAAATTTCCTGGTGGGAAATACCAGATTGATAAAAATTTCAAACTTGCTTGACTTTTCATTATTAGGTCATGAAGTCAAAAGATTTTTATTTAAAATAATTTCCGATATTTTCCTGAATTGTTCTTGTTTTAGCTTCTTCATGTGTTCAATAGTGTTTGGTCTCTGTCTAAAAGCATAAGCATAATAAACACATTTATTTGGTTTTTAAAGAAGATTTAGTGACAATATTAGAAACTGTAACTTCCTGGGTTTGATTCCTTGTTCTTTTTACTAAGCAGCTGTGTGAATTTGGGCAACTCTTTTAACCTCTCTTCATCCTAGTTTTTCTATAAAATAGAAAACAATTGTACATATTTTACAAAATTAGTATGCTTGTTAATATAAGACTCTGTAGATATGAACAGAAATTTCATTTATGACAGGTTCAGTTTAATGAACCTGTCGTTATTTCTGAATAGTGGTAGTAAGATATGGTAAGATATGGTAGTGCAAGCAGATATTAGCTCTGTGAGTGAATGAATACATAATATGTAAGCCAGAGGCCGGAAGGATAAAGCTCACAGGAGGAGGAGAACTTGCAGTCTTACTTGGTGAAGTTCACTTAAACACATGTAATTATTTAATGTGCTCACACACAGTGAACGAGAAAATGTAAGCCTGTACTGTCTGAATTTATTAAGTATAATTTTTATTATTTTGATTTTTCTCAGGCAGAAAAGGCTAGCTTGGTTCATTTATTGGATTTCCTAGGTCTGATTTTTCTTACGATGATTTGGGCCATTTGTCCTCGAGATAGTTTGGCACTTTTGGGCCAGTGGATACAGTCTAAACTGCAGGAGGTAAGTCTGATACAAAAAACTTGAAATTGCAATGGCTTGTGGTGAGGATATTTTAATATTACTGTAAAGAAAAAAACATCAGAAATCATTTCGTATTTTATCCTTATCATGAAACATGGGTACTATGTTTTAGTGTCTTAGATTTTCTCATTTTTAGGGGATACTCTTAATAATAGGCATTTAAATTAGAAAATACTACTTCTCTTATATGATGGAGATAGATGGGTAGGAAGGGCTCGGCAACTTTTGGCTAGCATGATTTTTTACGCATATTTATTGTTTCTACAGAGAGGAAACCCAGTCACAACCCTTTCTTTCCTTCTGTTGTTTACCTTCAAACGTTCCTTTTGTCTCTCGTAGTGACAGTGGTGTACTCACTGGATGACACTTCCTTTCCCCAAATATTTACATTTTGATGGGGAACTTTTTTTTTTGGAGGATAATTGCTTTGCAGTGTTGTGTTGGCCTCTCCCGTGCAGCCTGCAGCCGCGTGAATCAGCCATAATGATGCACATATCCTGTCCCTCTTGAGCCTCCCACTCCCCTCCGCTCTGACCCCTCTAGGTCATCACAGAGCAGCAGGCTGGGCCCCTTGTATTGTATAGCGGCTTCCTACCAGTTCTCTTTTTTACACATGGCAGTGTATATGTGTCAGCGCCACTTTCTCAATTCTTCCACCCTCTCCTTCCCCACCTGTATCCAGAGGTGCTTTTTCTGTATTCATTCCTTTCCTGCAAATAGGATCATCAGCACTCTGGGGAGCTCTTAAAACCTGTAAATTTTAAGGGCACAGGGTTGGCAGAAGCTGTCCAATTTCTCCCACCGCCTCGCTCTAGCTAAGCTAGTATTACCTGGTAAATATTGAAACGACAGTTTTAATAGGTGTTTGTTAACTTTTGTTTTATGTATAATGATAGTCATCTGATAAAATTTATGGAGTCCTCCATCTTTCTCAAAACAGTACACCGCAGAAAGGAGGTCTTGCAATCTTAATATTTGCTTTGTTAGCTGTGATTATTTTATTTTACATCTTTCATCAGATATTTCCTCTTGTCCTGGGAGTTTTGGTTATTTAGGAACAATCTGTTATTTGTGTATATTCAGTGATTTGTGGAGCACCCATCAGAGTGCCATCTGGGTGCTGTTTAAATCTAATCTGTAAAATTCTTTGAGACAAATTGCTTTGGAAATTGAATAACTAAATCTTTTATTCAGTGTTATTGAATCATTTGGTTTCAGTTTTATTGAAATAAAAGTTCTTAAAGGGAAAAAGAAAAAATGGTTATTGCTGAAGTTACAGAATCTCATATTTTGAATTTTATTTTTATTATTCATGTGCTGGGAAGTCAAAGAAGGTAATGCAGGTTTTCCACCATTTATCAGTAGATAGCATTTTATGTAATAGAAGATTAAGTCATAAGGAAGGTAACTGGAAGTTGTTTCTCTGTTGAAATGCTTGATGATCCTGTTGCTTGAGTATAATTCTTTCATAATTACACTGAAACTCAAGTAAGGATTACTTCTGTTTGAACTTTTTTTTTCCTCTATTTTTTTTTCTCTGAATCAAGGCCCCCTCCCAATAATTTTGGTGGTGAGGAAATGCTTCTTTTTCTAGAAGTCTTGCTTATGGTGATTGGAGGGCAGAGGTGATTCCGATAGTGAAGTTATTGAGGGGGAAATGCTGACATTCTTTTGTCAGAGAAAGGAAGAGAGAAAGGAAGAAGGAGGGGCTCTCACTTAACCATTTGGTTATAGTGTAGCAGCCCTCATAGAGTGCTACCCATTAGGGTTTTGAGAGCTATTAGTAATAATTAAAGTAGCTAACATTTATTGAGTACATACTATGTGGTTGGCACCATGATAAATACTGGAAATTAATTTTGTACAGGGGCTAAGAATACAGGCTCTGATCAGATGGATCTGTGTTTGGACTTAATCTCTCTTAGATTTAAATTCTATAGAGCTTCAGCAGATTGTTGCACTTGTTATAGGTCTCCATTTCTTTACCTGTAAGTTGGCTTAGTAGTGGTGGCCAACTCACAGCACTACTGAAGGCTTAACGATAACTAACATTTAAAGCAGCACTTCTCAGTATAAGCACTGTTCACGTTTTGAATTGACAAAGAATTGACAAGAGAATTCTTTGTTGTGGGGAATTGTCCTCTGCATTGCACAAAGTTTAGTAGTCTCCACACATTTAGATGCCAGTAGCTCTCCCCACTTCTCCCCACCCCCAGCTGCAGCTGAGACAGTCAAAAATACCACCAGACATTTCCAAATGTCCCTGAGGGATAAAAATCACGTCCTGTTGATAACCACTGGTTGAAAGCATTTAGCACAGTACCTGGTATAAGGTAAGGACTCAACAAATAGGAGTTATTACTTGCTCATTTTAACCCTCTCTGCAACTCTAGGAGTTTGGTACTATATGAAGTACTGCTATACTTTGCCACTATATGAAATCAATGCTTCATTTTACATATAATGCTATTGGGCTTATAAGGGTGGAAAAATACAGCCCAGAGGTAATAGTTAATAAGCACTCAGGCTTGAACATGTTTCTCTCCTTTTAACACCAGTGTTTTTCACCAGTTTATACTAGTTATACTATTAATGCCAGTCAATTTGTGGGGACACCTGTAGACTGCTTGTGGTGAGTGAAGCAATCTAAAACAGACATGATGGAGAAGGAAGCAAGTCATATCTAATGGTCATGTACTGTGGACTAGATTGATTTAGTTATTTCGAGCCATCACTGACAGGTAATTAATTGCTTCCCCAATTAATAGCTCTTTTCTCAAAAAGTCCTGCCTATCGATCCATCTTCTACAAAGTTTTAGTACTTACTGAAAATTAGTATTTAACTGGAAAGCATTCACATAAATACAAGTAATTAGGGAAATTAAAGTTACAATATCTATTTGTATTTTTTATTGAAGTTGGAAGAAGAGTTCATTTTCCTAACTAATCAATACTTAGAAAACAAAGAAGAAATTAAGATAATACATCATAGAAAGAACATTGTGCTATATGGTTAATTTTCTAACTGAAATAAATCTGCTAGTAGTGTCACTGGCTACTATATAGCTGCAGTTTTTCAATTTTCTTTTAAAACTGAAAGATCAGAATGTTTCTTGGCCATAATAAAAAAAAACCTATATCAATAAACTTTCTCAGGGAATCCTCTACATAGTAAGTGGAGATTATAATCAGAAAAAAATAAAAGGACTCTGTATGATACTGTGAACTCTTCAAAAATTTGTAGGCCTAGTTTTTTCCTATTCGTTCCTTGTTTTTAAAATATTAATCTCTGATGGGGGAAATAAAGGCTGCATTGTTTTATACCATCGTGTGCTTTAAATATTAATCATAGCATAAGAACTATGTCCTAGATAATCCATGAAATTTATTTAAAAAATATCATTTTGTTGTTGCTTTTTTTTTTTTAATGAAATAAATTGCCTTAATGGGACTTTTCTTTCTTATTTCTTAGTTTTTGTTTGATAGACCATATAGTAGAACGCTGGAGGCTGAAGCTGACAAAATTGGACTACAGCTTGCTGCCAAGGTAAAAAGTTTGGAAGTTGAAAATACACTATCTCCTTCATATAGCAAAATATAATTGTATGTTGTCTTAATGAGGTTTGGCATGGGCGTAGAATGAGAGTTTGACTATATATAATTTTTCACTAGTACCTTTTTAAAAAATTATTATATTTGGCTGTTCTGGATCTTTTTTGCTGCATGGGCTTTTCTCTAGTTGTGGCGACTGGGGGCCTATCTGTAGTTGTGGTGCGTGGGCTTCTCGTTGCAGTGGTTTCTCTTGTGGAACACGGGTTCTGGGGCACACGGGCTTCAGTAAATTGCCGCATGTGGACTCAGTAGTTGTGGTTCCTGGGCTCAAGAGCACTGGCTCAGAAGTTGTGGTGCACAGGCTTAGTCGCTCTGTAGCATGGGGGGGCAGGTCTTCTTCCTGGACCAGGGATCAAACCCGTCTCCTGCATTAGTAGGTGGATTCTTTACCACTGAGCCTCCAGGGAAGCCCTTCATTAATATCTTTTTAAGTCTGTCCCCTCTGGAAGCTATAACTATCTTTATTTGACTCTTTTCCCTTGTTTTGCTGATCTAAGAGGCTTTCTGAATAAGATGATGTGTAACTGTTTTTACCCACTTGAAAAAGGGTTTATCTTATAGCTACAATCTCAGCTGAACAAACTGAATTTTTACCATTTAAATAAATAATAGAAGAACAGTCTTATTACTTTGTATCTTTCAGATTATAATTTTTGTTATGGCAGATGACTGATTTTTGCTAGCCACAGAGAGCAGCTCTGGGCTCTTATTGTGGTTTATATTGGATTGATTTGAAGCTACGTCATGCCTGGCTACTGTTTTTATCACCTGTGATAACTGTGTATTAGTAGGATTTAACATTAGAAGTAAAACTGCATTTTTAAAAATTGGTGAAAACAGTGCCACTTCACATGTTAAATTCAAATTGCATTTGATTCTTTGTTGAGTTTTCAGTAGTTATCAGAAATCCTAACTATTGAAAATCACTCTTACCCGAAATTTCTCATTATGAGTATTTAATTTCATAAATCGAGATAAAAATTCAAAGTTCAAAAAATTCAATAAATCCAAAAAAGCAGTGTTCTTTGAATGTTGCATAAGCATGATTAAATGAATTTTCAGACCTCATAGATTAAGAGGTTCCCAAATAGTGGGTCACAGATTGACTCTATCAAGAATTTCCCAATTTTAATGTACTATGGCCTGTGAAATTTTCCCTCTGGGTAAGTGCCGTCTGTATTCTGGTTCAGAAATCTTTGCTTATTTCAATAGATTGTTCCTATTTTATTTCCAAGAAGTTTTCTTGTTTTGTTAAATATAAGGAAGAGGTCAAGATAATTTTTTCCCCATGTGGATATCTAATAGACTCAGCACTGATTTTTGAAGATTTTCTTTTCTCCACTAAACTTCAATTTCTCTGTCATGAATGTGGGAGGCTATATGTAAGTCTGTTTCTGGACTCCCTGTTGTATTCCAGTGGTCTATTTTTTATCTTTGAACCAATACCACCTCGTCATTATAACGGTCTAATAAATTTTGAGATCTAATATCTTGATGTTCAAGCTGAAGCTCCAATACTTTGGCCACTTGATGTGAAGAGCCAACTCATTGGAAAATATACTGATGCTGGGAAAGATTGAAGGCAGGAGAAGGGGGGCAGCAAAGGATGAGGTTAGAAAGCATTACTGATTCAGTGGACATAAATTTGAGCAAACTCTGGGAGGTAGTGGATGACAGAGGAGCCGGGCAGGCTGCAGTCCATGGGGTCACAAAGAGTTGGACACGACTTAGCAACTAACAACAACAACATGCCCAGTAGTGGGGTTGCTGGATCACATGGTGGATTTTGGAGAAGAAAATGGCAACCCACTCCAGTATTCTTGCCTGGGAAATCCTATGGACAGAGGAGCTTGGCAGGCCACAGTCCATGGGGTCGCAAGAGTAGGACACGACTTTGGGACTAAACCACCATGGTGGTTTTAGCGTAACTTGTTAAGGATCTCCATACTGTTCTCCACAATGACTGTATCAGTTTACATCCCCACAGCAGCGCAGAGTGTGGTTCCCTTTTCTCCTTACCGTCTCCAGCATTTATTGTTTGTAGTTTTTTTGATATTGGCTGTTATGATTGTTGTGAGATATTGCCTCATAGCAGTTTTGATTTTCATTTCTCTAGTAGTAATGTCAAACATCTTTTTATGTGCTTCTTGGACATCCCTGTGTCTTCTTTGGAGAAATGTCTGATTTCTAAGTTTTGACTCTCTAGTCCTGATAGATAAAGGCTCTTCTCAGTCACCTCGTTCTGCTTGGATTTCTTTTGATTTCCGCATATATTCTTAGTCTTTTGCTCGTCACTGCTTAAAATTTAATAAGATTTGCTGGTTGGAATTATGAAACAGAGGATCAGAGTCCCTGCAGTGAGCTTTCCTTCTTTCTGGGATTTTGGCTTTTCTAGTCTTGGTTGACTTGGTAATTCTCCAGTACCTTTGAACAAGTATTATTTATGTTTTATCCAGATTTTCTAATTAGTTTGGATGGAAACATTGGTCTGCTATAATAAGCTACTTGACTCCATCACTGTTAGGAGACGAAGTCCCTAATGTAGTCTTTTAAATAGCTGTCTAATAGTCTGTAATTTGGATAACTCATTTAACTATATGCTTATTGACGAACTTCTGGAGGTACTTCTAGTTGTTGCTATTGTTGTTGTTACTGTGTTTATTGCAATAATTCTGAAACTGGCGACCTTATACACATATCCTTCTGTTCTTCGGGCTTTTATAGGTTGGGGTTGCTGGCATTTCAATTTTTACTTTAAGAGATACTCTCAATTATTTCAGAATGTTACTAGCAAGTCTTACCAGTGACAAACCAGAACGCCTTTTTAAACTCCCCTCAACAGCACTGTTTTTAATCTCTTTTTTGTTAATTTGGACAAAAAAATGAGATCTCATTGCTTTTAAAACTTGAATTTTCTTGCTTAGCAGTAAAGCTGAGCATAATGTTTTATTTTCATTGGCTCTTTTAAAATGATTTCTTTTTTTGTGGATTGCCTTTTATGTTTTGATGAGTAGATTTTTAAAAATACATATTCTAGGCTCCCCCCTTGGAAATTCAGAATCAGTAGCTAGGTGACCAAGATCTGAGTCTGAGTGTGTTTAGGAGCTGCAAGTGATTCTGATATTCAGGAAGATTTGGAAATTACTACTTTGAGTAATCAAATGTCAGTTTTGTGTTTTCAGGTCACTTGGTAAGTTAAATTTCCTGTTTTATTTTTTAAAAAAAGAGGAATTAAACTAGAGAAGTTATTAAAGAAATATTGATATTCCTTTGATTATTTATGATATGCAATCCATATGTATATATATATATATATTTTTTTTTTCCATTTATTTTTATTAGTTGGAGGCTAATTACTTTACAGTATTGTAGTGGTTTTTGTCATACATTGACATGAATCAGCCATGGATTTACATGTATTCCCCATCCCGATCCCCCCTCCCNTCCTTCTAAAGCCAGATGAGAAAGAAAAAGTGAGGTGAAGAACTAAGGTAACTGACCAAAAAGGTGGAGGAAAAAGAACAAAAACAAATCCTCAGATTTGATTTTCCCCCGTATCCTCTGTACTTTGCGGGAGGAAAATATCGGGGTCTGAGTTCCTGTCATTCTGGGGCTTCCCTGGTGGCTCAGGTTCTTAACATTGTTGGTTCAAAGTGTGAGAAATAAAAAGGTAAAAAAGAAAACACGCAGAAGTGGTATGGACCTAGCAGAAGCACAAGATATTTTTTTAAAAAAGCTGGCAAGAATAAACAGAACTATACAAAAAAGACCTTAATGACCCAGATATCCATGATGGTGTGATCACTCACCTAGAGCCAGACATCTTGGAGTTTGAAGTCAAATGGGCCTTCGGAAGCATCACTAAGAGCAAAGCTAGTGGAGGTAATGGAATTCCAGTTGTGCTACTTCAGATCCTAAAAGATAATGCTGTGAAAGTGCTGCACTCAATATGCCAGCAAATTTGGAAAACTCAGCAGTGGCCACAGGACTGGAAAAGGTCAGATTTCATTCCAGTTCCAAAGAAAGAAATACCAAATAATGCTCAAAGTACTGCACAATTGCACTCATCTCACATGCTAGCAAAGTAATGCTAAAAGTTCTCCAAGCCAGGCTTCAACAGTATGTGAACTGTGAACTTCCAGATGTTCAAACTGGATTTAGAAAAGGCGGAGGAACCTGATATCAAATTGCCAACATCCGTTGGATCATCAAAAAAACAAGGGAGTTCCAGAAAAACATTTACTTCTGCTTATTGACTATGCCAAGGCCTTTGACTGTGTGGATCACAACAAACTATGGAAAATTCTGAAAAAGATGGGAATACCAGACCAGCTGACCTGCCTCCTGAGAAATCCTATGCAGGTCAAGAAGCAACAGTTAGAACTAGAGATGGAACAACAGACTGGTTCTAAATTGGGAAAGGAGTTCGTCAAGGCTGTATATTGTCACTGTAGTTATTTAACTTATATGCAGAGTACATCATGAGAAATGCTGGACTGGATGAAGCACAAGTTGGAATCAAGATTGCTGGGAGAAATATCAATAACCTCAGATATGCAGATGACACCATCCTTATGGCAGAAAGCAAAAAAGAAATAAAGAGCCTCTTGATGAAAGTGAAAGTTGGCTTAAAGCTCAACATTCAGAAAACTAAGATCATGGCATCCTGTCCCATCACTTCATGGCAAATAGATGGGGAAACAGTGGAAACAGTGGCTGACTTTATTTTTCTGGGCTCCAGACTCACTGCAGATGGTGACTGCAGCCATGAAATTAAAAGACACTTGCTCCTTGGAAGAAAAGTTATGACCAATCTAGACAGCATATTAAAAAGCAGAGAGATTACTTTGCCAACAAAGGTCCGTCTAGTCAAGGCTATGGTTTTTCTAATAGTTATGTATGGATGTGAGAGTTGGACTATAAAGAAAGCTGAGC